GTGGATCAGCACAAAATTATCGGTCAATGGTTGTAAAGCAATATCTCTCTTTCCCATAATAAGGACGCTTGTAGATTTGCGTTTTGAGTTCTAAACCTCTTTAAACACTCCTTCCCGCATATAATCAAAGATGACCTGTATTTCACCTGCAGAATGTACTAATGCTCCCGGTTTTAGATTATTGCCGCAAAATTCCCACATTCTGGCCTTATGAGAGGCTTTGACTCTCTAGAAAATGTGTAACGTAAGGCCACAAAACTATTAGTTGGGTAGTCAGAAATTCCTTACCATATTTGGCTCAATCAGTTTAACCTATATTCCTTGAATGTAAGACGTATCAGGGGGATTCTTATTTATAACCCCTTCCTTTCAGGCTCATATAATCGTTTCTTTACACGATCTAGCCTGAAACGTTTAAGAGGACGCCCTAGAATGCTCCTCAAACATCGACATAGAATCTTCATCTGCGTCAACTTCATCAGACTAAGGGTTATCTCGGAATAGAATAAACTTCAACTGGAGATTGTGGATTCCTCCTCTAGAAGGTTATTCAAAACCCTTCTGACTTGTACCTAAGGCTTATCCTGACGAAGAACTAAATGGCATTCATCCACTGTATTTTACTCTCCACTTCCTCTGCTTCTATTCTCTCTAGCCGCTTCTTCCAGGCCTCTCTCCTTCTCTCCCTCCCCTTCTCTCTCTTTCTCAGACTCTCGCTTTTCCCTCGATGCAAGCATCCACAATTATGAGGTACCATATTGAAGCCGCACTCGTTTTCTATTAACTTCTCTTTCAGCCTGTGCACCAAACAGCAGAAATGAAAACAAAAGCAGAGCCGGAACTATTAGACACCGGCCTGAAACCCGTAAACTACTTCAAGAGTTCAAGAATCAAGACTTCATAAAGGATATCTCAGTGGATGGACTAGCCTATCCACATGCAGTAATGGCGCCACCGTGTACTAACCGCAAAAGCACCGTTTTGTCATCCAAAAGTCACCAAATAGTCACCCGAGAGTACCTATTACAACAACTTGGTGGCTCTGGGTGACTCTGAAAAATCTTTTTTTCAAGATCATTTTAAAATGCTAACGGAATATTGCCCTCGCTTACAAAAACTGTTCTGAGATTTCAATACCATAAGCAGTCGCAGTATATTCTGAACAGTTGCACGATAAGCGCAGAAAGCTAGAGGATTTTAACTTACTCAGAACTGCACTTCGAAGGGCTAGCCTGACCTTACTTGTCATAGTAGTAGGAACTCCATAGGTCATACAATACTACTACAATCCAGTAATCGTTTTGTCATTAACGAACAAATATCTGAACTGTTTTCAAGCCCGAAAGTTTAATTTTGGACAACTGAACACATTTGTGTTGAATAATCCCAATTGAAATATAATAAAATAAGCCTAAGAGTTAATTCAAATTATTACATTTCATTGGTTTGGCAACAATAACGTAAATTCATTACCCGGGTTATAAATTTGAGTTATTCCTACACAAATGAATCACTTTTTTATTGATTGCAACACAAATTCCTTATTATTTTGGATTTGTCCTTAACACTAATAAAGGAGTTAAATGACAGTTTTCAGTCTTCCACTCCAGTTTCAGGGAAAATTTGACTGTTTGCTTATGGGTCTCATCACACTGTGCTTCAGTTTTCTGTCAGAAGTTTGTCGCCGAAGGAAAACTTCAATATCCGAATATCGTTTGATACCCTAATCCTTTTCTGTGGTAACACTTTCTAGGGATGTTTTACTCTCGTGGGCATTAGATAGACCATTGGTAGACTACTTGAAACCCAACCCATTCTACATTAGTTTTTACCATGGCCAGAAAATGAATATATGAGTAGTGGTATCACCTCACAGTACCATGACATTACTTTTTGGTTGAATTTGGATACCGCCACTAAAGGATAATGGCGTGATACAAATATTTATCTGGAATTGTTGGGTATAAATCCTGCAATGCACAAATATATGCTCCTTGTACTTTTCACGTGGTAGACTGGAGATTAAATTTAAGTCGTTTGTACCCCGAGCTCTCTAACTGATTTGAACATGTGACTATTGACGGATTGTGACAATATGGCCTCAGGTTGTAGTTCGACAAACCCCTTGCAGTTCTGAAAGTTTGATTAAGGTCCCCCATTATAGGAATGCATTAAATCGAGAATAGGTCATGAGTTTGGACTCGTGTGAAACAGTCCTGAGTCGTGACAACAGCTAAATAAAATTGTGCTAGATGCAATAGAGAGTAGACATATAATGAAATTGTTCAGGAAGAATAGAACCTGCTAGTCTGGTAAAACATACTGTCCGTTTGGGCTGCAAGACCTCGGCGTGAACTCTTTTGGCTTCTGTTTTATATCAGTGTTAATATTTTCAATTCGCCAGGTGCCATTTAACCCAAGACTCCTGCTGATCCCCATGGGTGTAGTGTGAATGATCATGCCATTGTCCAGGGATTCAACATAACCATCCACTCTGCTCTGGAAGGCGCGCTGACACTTTTTATCATTGAGGAAGGAGGTGGTATCAATACTGTAGGTTAAATCTAAACTGAATTTATGCTAGGCGGCAGCTTATTGCTTGCTGGATAACCTACTAGATTGACATAATCTACGGACATAAAAACAGCGTAACAGTCCTATCAAGTTCATGGCTAATAACTCGGACTAATGACAACCTATCTTCAGTTTCAGATATAATGGGAATTTTATTGACGTTTCTCAGTTGTTATCAAGTGACCGTGTCCGCTGTCGTCGGAATGACGACAGCAATTCTTCTCTATTTTGTCAATCGTCGGCGCAATGATTCAAATTTTGTGACGGTTCATCAATCTAGCCCGTACACTGAATACCAGTCCGTTGTAATTGATGAAAAGGTGAGTGATTTGTGAAGAATTCTGAATTGGGTAAACCTTTGATTATTTGAACATAGCGCGTGCTGGTCGGAGTAACGTTTGGCAGCAGCATTATAATTATAGTCTAGAGTTTCCTTTTTACTTATTGAACATACGATTGTACACAAAATTTTCGAGAAGCTACCTGACGACGTGAGTGATAAGATTTGAACTCACTTATCCCGGGTCATTGTAGCGATTACCTAAACCATTTGGCCAAGGCGAACCACTTGAGCCCAACTCAGCAGTAGAAAAATGGTTCAATGACAACCTCAAAATAAGCATTAGAGCCTGCTAAGTCTAATGTATGAAACTAAAAAATCAGGCATACTCTATTCGTTATTGGGTGTTTGAATACGATTCGTTTACAGAAAGAGATCTCGGATTTTTACGTCACATTGCGTAGTTAGCCAAATGCTCCAGATAGATAAGGTGCTTATACTAGACTGAACATAACTCACAAGCGAAAAAGCTAATAAGGTAGTAGGTAAATGAAGGTTACCATTATTTTATATCGCACTTATTTCTGACGTTTTTACTCTACTCCAATGGGTGGAGATCATGAATAATCACAATGAATTCACACCAATAATTTCGGTTTTGATTCAGTCCCCCAAAGTTTTTAATCAATGGCATTTGCCAGTTGTCAGTTCAGAATAGGTCACTCGGATGTGACTGATGCTGCATCCAACATAATGCATCCACACCAAATCATGACCTTAATGGTACAAATGTTGTTCCACGCATTTTGAGAAATCACAGTGATCCATAGGCCAAAACAGACCTATAGTAGTATATGTTCATGCCATCAAAGGAGATATAGTGAAAGCCTTTTCGATTAAAGGACATCTGCACGCGTCGAATACATAGAGCCGGATCTCATCCTTCTTTAATATTCACTATCTCAGCAGATAATTCAGAGATCGCGATGACTCGATCCTAGAATTTTTCAGAGATTCTCTTCACAAAGCGCTTGTGAATATTAAGCAAAGCACTGCATCGTGCCATACTACACTGATTCCTTAAAATAAAGACAATTTTTGTGACAGCGTGACAGATATCTAGATTTGGCGAACGCCATTCTGGATTTTGCTGGGTTATGTTATCTAGTCCCTAATGTGGCTCATGGATTTTGTTTGACTCCAAAGATAAAATATATCTGTTAACTACATTCAACTAACTACAATCAATGATTAATATACCAAAAGATTACTGCTACTTTTGAAGAATCAATTGAAACTTGTTTGGTGCAAAGCGCCTTTCATACTTGACCATTTAGCCCGGCTTGTATTGTTTGTTCAATTTCATTGAGTCAACCGATGGTGATATCTGCTGTGTCCTATTGCAAGTTAAGTCAAAAAAGTTTAGCAGGGAATTGCTTGTAGCAAAGTCGATGAGAAGCAGAAACTCTCTATCTCCATCCGGGACGAGACCACGCAAAAGACGCGTAAATTTCTGAACGACGAAGTGTTTTGTTGTACTGCCAGTCTCTACCAATCGATATGCGTCAGATAACTGATAGTAGTAATAAACAGGCATCCAGAGTCCGTGAAATCATATTTGGCGGCTGGAGAAAAGTTAATTGTCTTTTCTTTTACTGTCCAGTGCTTGCTTATTTTATCCCAAGTGACTGTCTCTGGCTCTCTCGTTAGCACACTGTATCAAGTGTATAGTAAGACAAGTTACCATAGGTATTCGTTTCTGACGTTCCCTATAACACATAGGGAGCCTAGAAAAGATACACTGACGAGGGCTCACACTGTTTCACCATTGATAGTAGCTGTTTTGAAATTATTCCCACTACTTGTCCTCGTTTACAACCGAATCTATCTGCATTTATTGCTAAGTCCAATCGGAGGAGCAGTAAATGATATTCCACTGATTTGAACGTCTAGAGTTCGGTCCAGCAAGCAGCAGACACGTTTGACCTTACGGCCGAGTCTGTTTCTGACATCCAAAACGGTAGGAATCAAGGCATTGTTTCACTTCAGTGGCTTATGATATATATGGTCTCTAAAATGTGGTCAGTCAAACTCCGTAGCGGGTCGAACACAACGTGAGTGGCGAGGCTTCTCTATTGCAAATCCTCAGTTTCATTGAAGAAGAGCAGTGAGATCGCCAAATAACAGCGATGACTCAGATTTATTTATAAGAAGATTTGTTCTTTAATAATGCATTTAAAGTTTCCAAGCCTGTTCAACTGTGTTCTTTTTATTTGACTGGAAAAGATATCGTGTCCACCTGCGTACTCGCATCAATCTCATTTTCGGTGAAAATTGTGCATTCAGTTCTATGTAAAAGCAGATCAATAGTAGCCTTAGTTTTGTTGATAAAGCTGTTGAAGTTCCTTTGTTAGTTATTGTAAAATTTAGGGCAATGATATTGTTGCACAAAATGAAATTTATGGTTAACTGAAACATTTCAGAAAAATCTCCGAACTGCTGCCATTCCGGCAAAGTTTCCCGAGCTAAAGGCGTTGAAGACAACCAGGGAGATCATTCTTCACGCATTGAAAATAGACCGTAAGTTTTTCATAACACTCGTCAATTTATTTATCGTGATACGGATAGTTTTACCCAAGATGTTTTACTGGCGCTTTTACCTCCTGAGGGGCTGAATGCGTAATATTTTCATTTCGCTTTAATTGATTCCTGCGCTAAGTAAGCTGGAAGTCTTGGGATTCGGGGTAGGAAGTAATTTTGGACTGCATTAAGATGCTTGATTGCACTTTTGTGTTGAGAAGTATCCTGAATGTTTAAGAAACCTATCACAATATTCTTCCGGGAAGAACGATGGATACAGAAGGATTTCCTTTTTTACAAGCTGCAAAGGAGATTCTCTCCGACTATCTGATCCGTGATTTGATGTGATTGGGAGGAAGATGGCTGGATTCTCTGGTTACGTAAACCTTTACTAAATACAGAAATTACGGTAATTTAGTTTGATGTTTTGGAATCAGTTTAAGCCAAGGGAGTGTCTGTGGCTCCGCTCAATGACCAGGAATTTCAAAATGAGTGGGTGTTTTTTCAAAACCCAATTCAGTAGCCGCACTAAAGGAACTACCACATTGACTTCTAAGCGATGCAGCAACAAGCTTCTGGGGATCAAATCTAGAACGCCATAAGCAGAATAGAATATTACTTGGATTTTGAATACCCTACAGTATTTATGCTTGTAGCGTATTTGACTAACCCGAGATTCGACAAGCGTACCATCATCAATCATCATACGATACAAAGGTCATCCGTGACCATCGAGTGTTTGAGTAAACGCGATTGAAACTCACTTTGGACAGAATTTGATCAAGTAAATTAACAACAGAAGTATTATGGTACTTCATCGCTCTTTTTTTCACCGGTCATCTTGAATGGAACGCGGAAATCGCTGGTGCCACTGTGGTTTCATCAGAATGTTTCCGGTAAACCAGGAACATACACGGATGGGATTTTGCGGTCCATCTGAACTTATTGTCTATTCAAAATCTACGTCCTTGACGAATCCCATGAGGAATATATTTCCCTGGTTAATTTATAGTAAAAACCCATGATCTAAAAGAAAAACCATTTATTCTTGTTGCTATCATAAACATGTTTGGTCATTTAGTATACACTGAAACGGTCCATCATTACTCTTTCCTTGTAGCTCATCGCCAGTGTTTCGGAAGAAGAACTGATTTCAATTCTCCACCGAAATGGATCACATACGAAGAAGTATGTTATCATACACTATCATAAAACTTCTTTCCAATTGTTTAGGTCTACGAAACCATCAAGATTGTTGGTTCCGCTCTGGTCTATTTGGCTGAACCTTCAAAGCGATCAGATACGTTTGTGGGAATTTGCGGATCAAATGCATTCGAGGTAACTTGAGTGGAACACCCGATTTCTTCCCATTTGGTTCTCCCTCAGTCGGGCAGAAACAGTAGAAATGTGCCCCGATTCGTGAGTGATTAGCCTGCTTCTGCCTGCATTTTGTGTAAATCAAGTGCCTTAGGCAGAAAAAAGCTGGAAAGCTGGAAAAAAGCTGGATCACATTCCGAAAACAGGGGGTATACATGAATCATAGTTCTTCAGAATTCAGAAATGAGACTGGAATTCAAACTGATTACAGTAATGTTGATAAAATAATTATTGTGAAAGTAATAAAATTATTCGCTCTTGGTGTGAAATACATACAACAGAAACTGAAGTGAAAATCTTCAGCGAATATGGTCGATGTAACCTCATTTGTTTTTTCCTTTATTCTTTCGTCTCTCTAGTGGGTGTATACACAACAGGCATGTGGGAATTATGGTCTGGTAACCGTACCTTTGTACGATACACTGGGGAATGAAGCTTTGGAACACATTATGCAGCAGAGTGAGTTTCGCTATCACAGTATCGCATTCAAAGTTGGACCCCATGCTAGTGCAAAATTTTGCGTCGTGCTACTACTGTTAAATCCTTACACAAATGTTTGGATTAACCAAGACGAGCGAGAATCAAGATCTAAATACCTTTTGCTGACGATATTTTGACCCTTTTTGGAAGGTCATTGGTAAGTGAAAATTAAATAAGCTGTAAAAGAAATAATGTAAAACTGTTGCGATTTGTGGTTGGTCTGGAGGGAAGGAAACAAAAGCCGCCCACTCTCCCTTTCTCTCTCTCTGTCTCTCCCTCTGTGTGCGCATGTGCAGGTGGATGGGGGAATGAGTGACATCAAGGCAGTGAACTGTTACCAGAGCTCCGTTCGATCGACAGGCGCAATTTGGATCGCCGTTGATGAGTAAAAAATACTCAGTTACTAGTCGTTCTTTATCTGACCTGAAACACTGTGATAAGAGTAATCTCCACACTGAACTTCATGGAACGTCCTTAATTAGCTGACACACTCTCTCAAGGGTTCCAAAATCCCATGTATTTGTTAGGTTTGTCTAGATCGTTTGACATGTTCAACCTCGTGTTATCCCAGCTGTCGACTCGTTTGTCAAACTTACGTGACATATCTTAGTTTGATTCCGATAAATCAGCCAAGCATAAAACTCATGTCTTCTAGTTTCGAGTCTGTTTTGCCCTTAAAAAGTATCGATATCATTGTTAAGGAAAAATATGTAATTTATTGTAGGTAAACAAAATCGGATTAACAATTCGAGAATTTAACGTGAAGCGCTCACCGGAGTTTCTCAAACGGGTAACCTTATCAGCTCCCAGAATAAGTTCTCAACCAAAGATTGTGCCATATCGATTAAACACAAAGCTATTGTGTATGACCGGCTGCTTGATAAGATATGGAGAAGATGGACCAATTTAATTTTAGAAGTTCAACAAAAGGAAAGAACAGACAAAGGTACATTGCGTTCTAGGGTCGTGTTCTGAAATTGTGTTTACAACTCAGATGGTCAATTACTGCGACTAACCTTTTTAAAGGTATGTTTTAGGATCAACTTAGTCCATATGAACGGCAAAAAGCAGTCACATTTGTAAGCTGTTTCCGTTTATAACTCACTGATTGTCACTTCTGCTTTACACAGAATAAACCGACTTTTTTGGTCAAAATATTTAAATACATTATATATATATATATTATGTGACTGTAGTGAAGCAAACTTATCGGTCATTATTCATATTGGACTAGCATAGCTAGAATCAATGAAAATCAATCAATCAACCAGTTAGTTACATAATCTCTGTTGGAGTGAAACAAGTAAAGGAAAAAGCCACACGGTGCAAAGTGATTGTATTGCACTGTGTTACCGATTATTGTAAGCAGATATCCCCAAATTTCATTCAAAACAATTCATTGACAGTGGAATTAAAACGAAGAACTAAAACGCATGAGAAATCGAGAGAAAGATAAACGGTTTATTCAACCTAAAATATTGAGCTGCCGTGCCACGTTTTCTCTGTTGTTGAAGATATGGGCCAAAAATTAAATAGGAGAACTTTCACAAACTTTAATTCTCTCAGAAACGAATCAAAAACTGGATTTAATTGAAGAATGACCGGTAGATAAGTTGGATTAGAGAGGATTTGTGTGATGAGCGAAATTTCTGTGAGTAAAATGTTCACGAAAAGCTAACGATGATATCGCACAATTTGTTAGCAGGATAGCCATTAGGATGTAGTGAAACGCGACCCGATGATGAGACTAAGTCACGATGAAGAGCAATGAAATGTTTCTTTTTAAGTAAACCGCAGAATATAGAAGGGCAGCAAAACGATACAATGGGTAGGAAACCCTCAATCTGCTGAAATGGGAGAACAACTGTCTGAGTTTGCCACCAGTACTTAGGATATAGTTAGACAATCTGAAATTACGTTCCACGGTAACCTCAAGGTATTTGATGCTTTACTATTTTGAAAACCGAAAAGCTGTCAATGCATGGGGTAAGAGGAACTCGAAAGAGTGATAATGAACTCAAACATTTAGATAAATTGAGATCGCTGATAACTGATTGCACGGAAAAGTTCATGGATTGTGCTGGGATAATTAGGTGAAGAAGAGAAGTCAAACTAGTGTGAGATAGCTTCCTATAATACGACGTCATTTGCGTATTCAATAAGTTTGGCAGGCGATGGAACACGTAGATCACTAAGGTAAATAGGGAATGAGCACTGGATGTAATCACCAATCAACAAGATAAATTACTGACCATTTTGGTGTGTTTAAGTCTGTCAGTGAAACAGTCTTTTACTCACGAAACAATTGGCCTAGGGCAACCAAATGCCTCTAATTTGCCTACGAAGGAAGATGAAGAGCCAGAGTCGAACACGGAAGAAGTATCAACAAATATACAACAGATGATTATCATCGAGAGATTCATGGACTTAGTTAAAAAGTGAATGACAGATAATAATGCGTCCAAGGTACAGCAGTTTTTTGTGATAACCAATTAGAAAATATCCTGTGCAATATTTAAATAGGTGAATATCTTTAGAGTATCTATAAACAAGCTGTCAGCCTGCTGTATTCGAATTTCCTTAAGACATACGCAAGTACGGAGAAGCACTTGAAGGAAAACCCTATTCTCATTACGGGAACGTATCGTCAGTGGTTCACGGCCATTCTTCAGTTAGTGAACGAAACTGAAAAATGAGCTCGCACGGGCTCAGTGCACGGACGTTGCTCCGCTTGCCGAAGGGATCCAGAGTTCCGAGATCTCTCTTACACCTATTTCAAAACAGCGTATCGACAAAGTAATTTGCATTGAATCAGTTATTATTCCAAGTGGTGGCTATTTTAATTTTTTTGGAACGTGCATGCATCAAAACTCTAATTAACTGGTGAATATTAAAAATTGCATAGTATGATGTTCTTACTGGGCGAATTTAGGTGTATTCTGATTCATGGTGACTTTAGTGAGCGTATTATTATTATTATTATTATTATTATTATTATTATTATTCATTACTGTTATCGTTCTCTTCTCCCCACTGAACAGCTCAACTTCACATTGTGGTCTGCGACACGGCGAAACGCGCCAAAAATTTGTTGTCCTGCTCCTCGTACTGCTTGATGCATATTGTGATTTGGCAAAACGACATGGATCTGATCAAATTGCGAACTGAAGAGCAAAATGTCTCGATTATCAGCTTTGATGAATTATTGGTGAGTTCTTCCAGGATGCGAATCGAGCGTTTGTTTTCAGGTACTACGGAGGGACCGACTGAGCGAGCGTGCACGAGAGAGCAATGCCACTCAGAGCACATTCGTTTACAATACTTTCCGACCGTTCCTTTTACTGATTTGTTTTGTCTCATAAAACATTTGACAATATGTCTCTCCACGGGTTCTAGCTAAATACTCGGTACTGCTCCATGAAGTCATTGTCGTATTGTTACTCCACATGTAAATTGTCCTTATTTTCTTTCTGGAAACGATTTCGAAATACAAAAACCTAGCAGAATCATTGTGATGATTCTATGGCAATGCATAAGAGGTCAGACTTGTCCTTAAAACCGGGTTTTTGATGTATTCACATCACACAGCATATCATTTTGACTAACATGATATTTGTAACTAAATCGTCAGATGGGATATCTATCAGTCTATTGCCATCAACGCCCACAGATCTTCAGGACGGACCGCTCACGGTAGATCTAAATTTTGGTTTCGACTTCTGGCGCAGTTGAGACGAATTACCATGAGGCTGGGAGGAAGGGTCGATCGGCTACAGTTACCAGCTCATTACCGGGGAGGATGTATGCTCAAATCTCACCAAGGTTTTGAAGTTTTCTCCGTTTCATATGCATTGCAGCCCTTTGTTTGACTGTTTCTCCAATTTTTATCTATGTTCATTATTACTTATGGCTGTCTTTGACAGGAAATTGGCAAACAACATCGAATCTCGGAGAAAGTAAGTCTGGGAACTGTCGTCGAATTTTAAACGAATTTATCATGTCATTCAGTTTGCATACAGATGTACATGTAGTATAATAATTAATCCCTGAATAAGTGGACTAACGTCTCCCGGAAACGCACGACTGGCTCCGTGGTTTTCTGCATTCATCAGGCGCTAAGCGGTATTCAGTACTAAGCGGTCAACTGTTTCGTGCACTGGCATCTTGAATTTAGATTTTCTCCACAGGTTACTAATTTGCAACTCTGAGGGTGTGCGTGTGAGGGGAGGGAGGTATTTGCTCTGACAGAATTATCTCAAACGGTCTGTTTATGAATCATTGGAATGCTTCTGCTTTGTGTTTGTGAGTTCAATGTTACTAACTGCGACAAACTCCTCTGACATGTCCTTCTTTGATTATTCGTGCATATTAAGAATTATCTGTACATACATTTGTATCACCGAACCCCTGTTTGATTCCTCACCAGACGGAAACATGTTTCACATTTGAGTGGACAAAGTCAAACAAATCAGTTAAATCGCTCTCGGTCGAATGCATGTGATCAGCCCCTTATGGTAGAGACCAATAATCCACATGATCAACACATGAGGTCAGGGCCGTTCGAAGCGGTGGCACCATTCGCGGCAGCCGCCGCCTCAGCAGCAGCAGCATCAGCAGCAGTTGCGGAAACAGCAGCAGTATCATGATCTATGAAAACAATTGTGAGAGTACTAGTTTCGACAGATAATGTGAAATGTGTGTGTATATGTGTGTGCGTGTGTATAATTCTATTGTTCATTTCAAAAAGGGCGTATCCACAGTTTGGCCCTTCCGCTTCGTATTGAAGTGCATCAAAACCATGATGAATATTCTCACTAAAATGTGATGGTAATTTGCGGTCAGCGTAACTGAATCGTGCGTTCATGTGTACTCTGATCCTTGCCAACCGTCCCCCTCGAATTCGGTAAACATACACAAATAATAAAGGATTTTTTGCACGGACAAAAAACGGAGATTCGTATTTTACTAGCAAAGTGTAAGTGACTTTGCTACTTGGCACAGATTTGTGCAAACAGGTTTGCAGTTGAGGTGGTCAGTTTGCCCAATCCGATCTGGAAATACAGGGAGAATGAAAGCGTCTAAATTTGATCGTAGCGATCTGCTGGTGTCGGTATTCGTCGAATGGGGTATCGGGCAGAAATGAGACGTTGGAATATGTTCAGAGAACATGAGCCAAAATGAGGAAGGAATCTGAGGAGCACTATTTACCGAGCGTCGAAACACGATGAGCTGAATGAAATGTCCCAATAAACGAATAAACAATGTTAACGAAAAGGGGTTAAAAGCCAATACATAACTAAAGCCGGTTAGGTACATTGCTTCAGAAACTCGTTGGTGGACCAGATAAAGCAAACGAAACCTTACACCACTTGGGGGGGGGGGTAGTAACATGGTAGCAGGTACCAGCAAAAACTCCGCTTAGGTGGCTCATCCTGAAAAGTTGGATGTTTCCTCACTGAGTATGCGGTCCTAAATGATCAATGTAGATGTTCAAGGACACGAAGAATTTGACTGGTAGGCGGTTTCTACGACAAAACACTACAAACTGCCGGGGAAAGCATTGTGACGTTGGTGAATCTGATCCCATACGGAATGAGGTCATTGCCACAGGTGGGCATCTAGCTGGAGGCGCTTCATCAAAGAATAAAGGTTGAGCGATAATGGAAAATTCTAAGATGACCAGTGGATTCATACAAGAGGCCCATAGGTAGATTCCCACCCATAGGAAAGCCTCCTAAACGCAAAATCAAGTTAGGAAGTAAAATGCTACGTTTATGTAAATATGAAATCATAGATATTTTTTGCGTCATGTTGTCAATACCCATCACGTTACCTCAAAACCGGAAGCTGAATCCTTTTTATACAGATTAGTTTGTTCGCAACTTGCTAATGGTTGGTAGAGTTTAATGAGAAAGTGACGATTAATGACAGTGCTCAAACAGTCACCATATCACTCTACTCATGTGTTTTAGTCCAACTAGTGCCATCCTACTTCCCTACGTATGTCTGTCCTCAGACAATAGTCCTGCCCTTGGAAACACCTTATACTTGTTTATGGTAAGAATAACGAGAACGTAAAGATTATAGTTGCATTATGATGAAATCGAACTGACAATATGGAGGTGCGCGAATTGTTGCATATTGCTACTTCCTCACTTATGGTCGTATGAATTCAAGTGTTTTGACACTGGTCCGAAATTGGTTTTTCTAATTCTACCAGGATGTTCAGCCGGACGATATGTACCTCATTTGTTATACCAGTGGCAGTACAGGTGAGTTCTCAAAGCTTTCAGTTCTCTTCACAATGCATAGAATTTTCCGATTTCGTCTGACAATATCCAAAGTAGAATGATTGGTTAATTTATGAGCAGTTTTATACATTCTTTAATTTAGCTGACATTTTCTTTGAGGATCCATGATGTAATCGATGAATATTTGTTTGTACACATCATACAATGATTTTTATTAGCTATATGCGATTTGCCATCATTGTCCATAATATTATTTAACTCCTTAGAGAAACACTTCACTTCAGATGGACGGAACAACATCTATGGTCATCACACGAAATAGGATTCTGTTGTGTAGACTGAAAGCAGTTTTCAATTTTATTCACATTTTTATTTTATTTTATTTATTTTCATTTCTTCACATTTTATTCACATAATCCAAGGACTACTCGAATGAGGCTCACAGAGTTCAGTACAGGGTGCTGTTGATCTTTAAGTTAGGATGAATACGGAAAGAGACGAGTGGTGTTTGAGATGAGGTGGTGAAAGTTCACTGCTACGCCGAATTTCACCGGAACCGAAATGTCTGTATAGAAAGTGGGAATATGGCGCTATTTAGTCGTATACATTTTCGTCAATCAAAGAACCTCAGATCATCTGCTATCCTTTTTGTTGTTGACGTTCCTTTGGCATCCGCCCGTGCTTTGAGGGTCAATCCTGTTGTGCACTGCAGAGGCAAAGCCATTAAATATGGAGAGAGAGAGAGAGAGAGAGCGAATAAACAACTGGTATACAGATTAAACACAGCTGTTTACCTAGTACTGCACGAACCAGCGGTAAAACGAATCCGAGGTAAAACGTATGTGTGTGCACTGACGCAAGAGTTTGACCTACAAAGGCTTTATTGTCCAGTGGCACATGGTGCACATGTGACTGTGAAAACTTCTCTGACGTGTATCGTTTGCCCAGTTTTACAATGCGGTCAAGGTCGACCAGATCCTGACAAATCCTATTTGAGGCATTGAGTCTCCTTTACCCTGGCCGGTGATGCAACCCAAGAAGAATGACCAATATGAGGCACGGGATTTCAAAAGATAGACTGTACAGCATTCACTTCCCTCACTCTATACTGAGCCATATCTCTCAGCGTCTCTAACCAACGCCATTCGTAATGGTACCCGACCTGATAAAGGGATAGCAACAAAGGAGGCCAAAACTGCCCTCCATCACACGTCTTCCAGCCTTGTCCAGCATGAGAGAACACACAGAGGTAGACAATGAACAGACGTATACAAAACGTAACTTCAATTTCAAAGGTGAATTCGACGTGTATATAGCAAATGAAAGCCTGAAATGATAAGCTAGGAAGCACCGGACAGCTGTTTCGACCTGGTTGAGTCTCATCAGCAGTGCGAATCCATCGTGTAAATGGAAAATGAAAAACGGTCTAATCAGCTGGCCGGTGGCCGAGTGGGCGACATGCTTGCGTTCTGCCCATGAGGCCCCGGGTTCGATCCCCAGCTGGGTCGATGGATTCGCACTGCTGATGAAACCCAACCAGGTCGAAACAGCTGTAACTTTTCAGTTCACACTTTCATTTGTTACATACACAAAGAATTCACCTTTCGTCATCGTGGGCGGTTTAGAGAACTTTCTTATTTGATACAACAACTATCAGCATCCAATACACAATGACGAACCTGGTCATTGCTCACCGCCAGACACGAGCAATACTTCGAAGACATCGGTGCGCGAATACAAAATGTTGATTAGCATTCTCCGCGAGGAGGGATAAGCTCTCGTAACCGTACCGTAAAGCACCACGGAACGCAGCGGAGGAAGTCATAATGACATCACATGTGTCACAGCCTAGAACGGAATAGGTCGATACATAATCATGATAACGAGCTGACATTGTCACCTCAATCTTTGATAGTAGCCCAAAAGCGATTGTGGTAAATTAGATTCTCATTTCTTCAAAACGTGTAGTTTGTAATTCTTGTCCCAAAAGAATAAATAAATGACTGACGTAAGGCTTATATAGTTTCCTGTGCGACTGTGTAGTTTATCTTCCAAGCTTTTCACTGCCAGTCTAAGTATCACCATCAACGGAATGACAACTGAAGACTTTTTTATCTGTTTATCTGAATTTGCTTTTGATTGTACAGCATAATGGGAGTCATCTGATTGATGCCTGTCAAGGTCACATAAGGAAGCACGCGTGGGTCACTGGTTGATATGCGGACAACTCTTGTCATGGGACTCGGGTTCATTCATATTAGTATGACATCGTTCGCTAGTTGTACACAAGAAAAAACTAAAGACAAAAAGTGACACTGAAGGGAACGAGTGCAACTAATTAAACTGAACGGAAGTTTCATGTGCGAGCTATCTGAATTAGGACAGAAAGCAGCAAATTCGGAATCAGGCTGTCAAAGTAATGCACCAGAGAAGGCACATAAAAAGCATATCTAAGGTTACATATTGTAACAGAAAACTGAATAACAAACAGAGTGATTATGAGTCTCGTAACTAGACGACACACGTAAATTGTTTTTGTACATGTGGTCTAACGTTATCATCAGCTCCTCCCATACGACGACCCTGTTGTTATTGATAATTGGTGAAACTGGGTGAGATATTTCCAAGGTAAAAAGAAATTTCTCAAGGTACCTTGGACTCATTCGATACAAAATGTGCATTGGAAGAGAAGAGTGCGAAAGTATCATGCATCATTTGTGCGGTTTCAAGTTTTCAGTTTTCCTAAAAGTTATTTTATCCAATCTGAGCTGTTTTTCTGGTTTTTCATTCGCAGGTCTTCCAAAAGGTGTCATCTATACACAACAGCAGTTCATGAATTGTTTAGTCAGAACAAAGGAGTCCATAGACGAGCTGGTGAGTGTGTAATCCGTTGAGTATCATTTCATCCCAAATGTGCCGCGGTTGGTCGCAGTGGACATGCAATTCACAGTTTACCATTTTGCAGAATTGGAAAAGGTTTTGATTGGTTGTCTTTATTTTGTACAAAACTAACCGCGCTACCAAGACCCTCCCGTTTTCTATCTTACAATGATCTTACCTTTCCCGCCATATTGATCGGTTCCCCATTTATCTAGCTAACGGTAGTGAATGCTCCAGAATACTGGGTTGTAGTGATATGCGTTACAAAGGATATGAGCTATGGATAATATTTAAATTTGTTCACGTCGAATAAGTCGATTGCATGTGTACTCAGTAGACAGACATCCAGTTATCCGGATAGATAGACGGATGGAGAGACGGACAAACGGACGGACAGTCAGAATGAAAACAAAACAACTGCAGCGAATACAGTGAAAAATATCTCAAATCTAACTCCATTCTCCCCGTGCTTCTGTCTTCAAAATGCTTCTCTCGATTTTGCCATAATTAGCTTAATTTGGTTGAAGAACTATAATGCGTCTATTTCACAATTCGAAATTCGCATAGCCAGTGCGCAGCATCACTCTTATTCTACCGGGAATCGTACAGGTTTATTAAGAGCCTACACCGAGTTTCCTGGAAGCCACCTGTATCTTATTCATATTTTGAATGTGGTTTCGACTTCCCAGAAATGTGTTCACTTATTTACATCAATAAAAATGCAAAACATTGTAGAGTTGCCTGAGGTTTAAAGAATCAGACACGCGTGGTTAAATTGACAAGTAAATCATAGACAGTTGTATACAACATTAAGCTCGTAAATTGCTTCCGGATAACATGAGGCAACTGAAGAGATTATGCTAACGAGTTAATCCTATCTGAACTTCAAATCACCATCATACTGACTCGGGATTTTTGTGTTTTCAGTTTCAGTTTTTACAACCATTAACCATGCACTTTCGTGCGTCGGTTTTGGTTTGCTGTCTTTGGTTGCCAATTCGGATAAAAGAGCAAAGTGAAGATTGGAATGTCGAAGCAAATTCAAGCGGAAGATGGGGAATACATATAGAGTGGTGTTAGGAAAATAACGAATGGATGNAGAACTATTGAATAGCGCAGATGGTGTAATACGCACAGTACGAGTGAAAAGGCGAATTGATCCTTGATCAGAGATGTAAGGAAAATTTGCGCTCTAGAAGCCGACGAAGAATATCCGGGCGCCAACGGCTGATAGGTTACGCACGGGCAATTAGGTAGGTAGTTTCAGTTTTTACAACCATTAACCATGCACCTTCGTGTGCCGGTTTTGGTTGCCCATTTGAATAAAAGAGCAAAGTGAAGATTGGAACGTCGAAGCAAATTCAAGCGGAAGATGGGGAATACATATAGAGTGGTGTTAGGAAAATAACGAATGGATGCACGAGCGCCACTGTTTGCGACACCCAGCCATGTCACTCAGTGTAGCTAGCCATCGGTGACCATCATCCCGAGGTCCCCAGCCAGGGAACCTAACGAGGCGGTATTTTGTGTGCAAATCCGTATTATCAACTCTTAAATTTCACATATTGATGCGTTTACTGGCGACCTTAGATTGGTAGCAGCCCTCCTTCGGACAAAAGCTTAAGTAATTGTATGTAATGGAAGAATTAGGTAACTTGTACAACCGGTCTCATCGAAGGTTATGTGGCTATGAACAAAACAGAGGACATTCAGAAGCCTAGTGCATTCTAAATGGGTTCACGGAACTTTGAAGTTTTCAAAAACAAGGAAAACAAGAATTTGGAAATATTGTCCGATTTTTATTTACTTGGATGAACCCATTTGAATTTAGTGGAGAGCAGACGCTTGGTGAATTAGGCTCTTGTTTTCGAGTTATCCATTTCATTCGTTATTAAATAATTTATTATCCATGTGTTCACCGTATTATACCTGCGACGGCAGATTCATGTGAATTTTGACAAAGTACACCGGACAGCTGTTTCATCTTCGTTGGGATTCGAAAGTAGTGCATACCGTATTTGAATCCAGGGATTTGAACTGTAAATTATTATCCATGAGCTAGAAGACAGTGATTGAAACGTAACACACTGGGGTATGTTTGTATACAAGAAATTGGAATTTTTGGTGACAACAGTGCATCAGTGCGACTGTATTCCTCCTAGTTTGTGAGTCCCTCTCATGTGTGTAAACCTGCTTGCCCCGCCGTCTGATTCGGAAGCATTGGTTTATTTGACCACGTTTAGGAGCTCACCGCACAGTGTCTTAGTCACTCGCACACGATAAAAGAGTGGTGAGCTTATCAAAAAGAATCACATCGCACATTGCAGCGACACGGTAGTAGAAGATGAACACAGACCATCGGAACCCGATCCAGACCTATCATATTTGGGTACGTTTCCCGGTTAAGGATCAACAGATTAACCCCAGAGATGACCAGACACGGTGATGTAACTGAGTGTCGTAACGAGTCGTTGTCTTCGCAAATCCCTGAGGAGTTCATCGCCATTATAGTATGCATACATTATACTACGAAAAATTTTATTAATTCGAAATAACTGTCTTTCGCTTTTCGCCGTCACGCACAAAACCTTTGGTAATTCAGTCAACCGTGCATTTAGGAGGTATTCAATTCTAGTTTTGCTTTTGTTAGGTATCGTCCGTAGTACTTATACCCCGACCGGTCCAGCTGTTGAACTTTGAACACCTAGGAGGAAAGACTTGTGTGTTACCGTTTTAGTCGACCTGAACTTGTTCTCAATAAAAGCGAGATTTAAGTTGTTCTATTTGTTAGCGCAGTAAACCCACTTGTTACTAGTACAAATTCACGCATATATACCGTACGTTTAATTTTAGTTTAACGAGCGAACAATCGAAACTTACGTCTCCTATCTACCTCTGTCCCACATCATGGAACAATTGGCCATGGTAAGTTTGATGATAGATTATTACTGTGTTCTAAAGCATGCCTGAATCAATTTGAACGTGATTTACGTGTCTGTTTGTCTCCGTCCTCGGGAAATCAGTTCATGCTCACATGTGCTGTGTATTTTATTCGTCAAACACAGTATGCAACAAGCAATAATCCTTTTCTGATGAAATTTGCCGGCGGTTCAGTTCAGTTTGTGCACCCATTAACCATGCGCAATCGTGCGTCCGGCTTTGATCATTATCTTCTCATGGCCCATTCGAACGGGGGATTAGAAGATTGGAAATTGTTAACTAGAGTCGAAGAGACAGTAGAGAATTTCAGTAGACTAAGTTCACAATGAGATGGAGATGCACGAGCTCCACTGTTTGCGACACTCAACCGTATCACTCCCTATCTCTAACCATTGATTACGATGATCCCATCCCGGGAGCCTAACGCAACACATATGATCGAGTATCTTGATCACGATTTCGATACCCTCATACTAGGCCTTAGTTTGACTTTTGACCTTGACCTTGCTCCACGCAATACCTGTCTGAGCAAACATTGCGCTCCGTGGCAGTCAAATTTGGTGACGTGCGTAAAACGTGCCCAACCGACTTAATCTATGGAGCTCGACCACTTCCTTAAGTCTCACTCTAACTGGGGATTTAAGAGGGCCAGTGGACAAGTTCTGTTATTTGGGCAGCTATATCTCGCCGAGTGTTGCATTGGTCAGCACTTTTAAATATTTCTGTACCTGCCTGGAGTCAAACCCTGAATCTTCGAAAAGGACACCGATAACTTAGGCCTTGATTTGCCGAGCTCTCGATCACGTTGGGTTTTGGCACCCAATCCAAATTTTTGCAGTTCCGAAACCCGGCAATGAGATAAACTTATCGATTCTAAGATTCCCAAAGTTCGGAGCCCTCATCAAGTCTATCAAAATAGCGATTCACAGTGTCCTGATTTCGAATCTCGCCACCGCGGCCCATTTTATTTGTTTCTAGATTTACCAGTCAACCTTTATACGGCAGCAACCGCTGACCTACACCTCTATATTTATAAATTCACAATTATTTTACAGAAGAAAAACTTATCTAAACTTTCATTCAAGCCAAATAAAAAGCGGCAATTGCATCCCAT